ATATTCATTATTTTAACAAATAAAACCTTATGAAATTCATAACAAACATTGATTATTTTTACGGAAAAACATGTAAAAAAAAAATGAAATATTTGGATTCAATATCTTTTGCTAGAAGTCTGCGAAGTATCCAAAATCGCCTTTAATAGTTTGTATTTAATAACTTAAATCTTACCAAAAAAAAAAAAAAAAAAAACTAGTGGGGGGGGGGGGGGAGAGATTGAAAAGTTATTGTTATAATTATTTTAAGGTTAATGCTTTCTCCTCCAAGTTTTTACGAATTTGATTTATATTTTATATAAATTAATTAATTTTTTTACGTTTTTAAATTGCTGAAATTGCTAGTTGCATTGAGACAGACCGTGCATGGACTGTGAATAATTAATCTCTCCTATATATAAATATATATGTCACACACATCCCGTGCACATAGAAATTATTTACATATTCCAAGTACATTCCAAGTACATACATTGTATATGTATAAATGAGGAAGGAGACATGCGAAAAAAATCGAATTAAATAAAATTGATGAACGTCACTAGATCTGTCATCATCTATTATCCGAAAAAATATCGCATTTCCATTCTTTTGTATTTATTTTGGTATTTTTATAGGCCTGTAAGATTAAGCTAGAAGGGAGCATGCAGTCGTATAAATAAAAAAAAAATGTTACAGTGTACCAGCATGTGTAGTATACAGTAGTAATATAATGCTTATATAATATTGCCTATCGACAATAATAATGTCCTAAGCCATTTTTGTTTGCTTTTCAAAACATTTCTTTTTAGACCCCACCCCCTCCCCCCGGCCGCCCCCAAAGAAATGATATTGCTTTCTTAGCGTGCTTGTGTTATAAGCATTTACAATAACAGAATCTGTATCTACTATAGATACGTGTAAACTAAGCTTACAATGTATATAAATATATTTATTGGGTACTTAAACTTTGTATTAAATAACATTGAATGGTTACGTACACTTGTTTACAACATATTAGAACACAAACACAAAAGTAAATAATAAATCAATTTTCCACAATTTGACAAGTGGATTTTCGGATTGAATAATTGTCAATTATTGCTATTAGACTTTGTAATATTTGTTACAAAACTTATCTTATATAGGACGACATCGGCAAAATTAGACAAAACTTTGTAAATTATGAAAGTCTTAACCCCATTTGAGGCACAGTCAGCGGGGAAGGGGGAGTCCATAACCCCCCCCCCCCCCCGAAAAAAAAATCCGATTCAAAAAGCCACAAAAAAATATATATATATTGACTTCTTCAATATAGTCACGTATTATACGCAATCGATAAACACGAATAAAATTAAATACAAGGTATTTACCAGTCTTGTATATCACCGCAGAACCGGGCGATTTTTTTTCCATGTGTCTTTGAGACGCCTTTACATGTAACAACGACAGACAACACAGAAAACCCTAAGATCCAGAAGTACCGCAAGCGCATTTTTTTTATTTGATCACACCAATCATGTTTATGACTGTAAACCTATAAAAATTACTTAAAAATATACAAATGAACTAAATCAACGGAGTTTGGAGGACAAACCTCTCCTATATTTTATTTGATTCAATTATTCAATTCTTAATCTGTAACGGAAGTGTACACTTACCAATTTTCTTAGTATAAAATCTTTAATTGTTAATTAAGTGTTGTTCATAAAAATTATGAACAATAACCAGAAAATAAGTAGATGCATTTCATTGAAACCCAGTAGGGTTCAAGGTGAATACTTGACACCAGGTGAGAGCTAGAGTTCAGGTATGTCTACGTTGAATACACATGGGCCGGTCGTGTAGGGGAAGGGGGGGGGGTCTTGACTTGACAAGAAGACAGTGTACTGATTAGGCAGGTACATGTAGGTGTCAGTTCTCTTGTCACGGGAGCGCTTCCACCTGTCACTAAGTTACGGTATATATTACTTCATCTCCGCGCCGAAGTAGGTAAGATGTATAATAAAAATTTGTGTGGTTTTGTTTGTTTATTTATTTATTTTTTACATCTTCTAAATTCAGTAGTTAAATATGAATGGCAAACATCTATATTATAATATATACTTATCAGAGAAAAATAATAATACAAAGGAACAACAAAACTTGCGCGCATAGAATTTATGTTTCCGTTATTGATAAAAAGGATAGCCTTAATAAAGATACTGATATTTTTTTATTCATAATTTATTTTTTGCACACATACCTAATGTTTTATGTTTCTATAATTATCAAAACAAAGTTAACAAAGGTCTCGCTTTTGTGACTCTGACTGTGTAAAGGGATTATAATATTTCTATCTTTGACAAAAATATTTCTTACATATCGACAAATTTAAAAAAAAAAATAACGAATGACTCAAATAGTAGATCGATTATTTCATGTACAAAAATAGAATTTGACTCTCGATTTATGCTCTCTGCTTGGTGACGGTACTTGACGTTTATTTATTTATTTATTTTCTTTAAAAAATATACCAGAGTTAGAGTATTAATTTCTCTTTTTGTTCAACAGTTAGATTAATCCTAAATAAATTAACAAAACGAAAGATGAACTCGAGATATCTCGGGTGTTTCTTTTCAAGGTAAAGATAAAAAAGCGAGGGTTTCCGAATGCACACGATAAACGCAAAACACGATGTAGCACGATAGAACCTGATAAACGATCTTCACGATAAACGCAAAACCTGATAAACGGAAAACACGATAGAAAACGCAAAACCTGATAAACGGAAAACACGATACGATAGGATACACGCACGATACGACAGGATACACGCACGATACGATAGGATAAACGCACGATAGGACACGATAGAATTGTAAAGAATAACGATGCGGGTACTGTATGTAATAAATATACTTAATTTAATGGTGAAATCATAGATCAAGATTATCATATGTAAACAGGCAAATACAATCATGGATACTGTAAGGAGCAGGTACAGCCGTGGATGTTGAATAACTGTATATACAAGACAGGTACAGCCGTGGATGTTGAATAACTGTATATACAAGACAGGTACAGTCATGGATGTTGTCAATTAGGCTCATGTAGAGTCATGGCTGTAAAATATTTAGAATTGTCAAGACAGGTACAGTCGTGGATGCTGTCAATTAGGCTCATGTAGAGTCATGGTTGTAAAATATCTAGAATTCTCAAGACAGGTACAGTCGTGGATGTTGTGCATCAGGCGCGGGTTCAGTCAGAGATACAGAATAAAGTCTGTATAAAGGACAGGTAGAGTCGTGGATGTTGTTAAGGACAGGTAGCGTCGTGGATGTTGTTATAGAGGACAGGTAGAGTCGTGGATGTTGTTAAGGACAGGTAGAGTCGTGGATGTTGTTAAGGACTGGTAGAGTCGTGGATGTTGTTAATTTGACACAGGTTCTGTCTTGAAGCAAACATAACTTCTTTTTTTTAACAAGACAGGTACAGTCATGAATGTTGTTAATCAAGCACAGGTACAGTCATGGATGGTTAATAACTTCTGTATACAAGACAGGTAGACTTATGAATATTGTCAATCAGACTCAGGTACAGTCATTGATGTTAAATATCTGGAGTTATCAAGACAGGTACAGTCATGGATGTTTTTATCAGGCACAAGTACAGTCGTCGATCTTGTTAATCATGTAAGGGTTCAGTCAAAATAATTTCTTTATAAAGACAGTTACAGTCGTGGATGATTTTAATCACAGTCCTGGATGTAAAACTCTAGAGATGTCAAAACAGGCACAGTCGTGGATGCTGTCAATCAGGAACAGGTACATTTGTGCTTGTAGAATAAAGTGTGTAAACAAATTAGGTTAAAACTCACTTGTTTGAACTAGCTTTTGACGGAGTGTAAATATTGTATTTTTAGTGATTTACTTAGAATATACAAAAGCACTATACTGGTTATAAGGTCTTTAAGGATTTTTTTGTGTTTTACTTGTAAGTACAGGTTCTTTAATTTTAAACGTTTCGATAGTTGTGATTTTTTATTAGTGATTTCTGCGCAATGTACAGTACACTAGCAATATTTTAAGGTCTTTTAATATATAAGGTCTTTTAGTTATCTTATATTTTTAAGCACATGCATATGTATTTTTAAGTATAGTAAAACTTGTTTATAACGAAGTCACTTGGACCTGTGAAATTGCTTCGCTATATCCGTAATTCGTTATATCTGCATAAGGAATTCGTTAAATTTATAAAGCTGGGGCTCCAAGAAAACTTCGCTATATCCGTGAATTCGGAATATCCGTGTTCCTACTAAACGAGTTTTACTGTAGTTTTTTCTCCATTTTGTATGCTTATGTATATTTTAATGTTAACTGACTTGAGTGTCTATATTATAATGCGCTAAAGAAATTTGTGTATTATATTGTAATGATTTGTATTGTAAGGATTTTTCTTCATTACACGATTATTAAGCGTATAAATGGTCAATTGATTGGTGTTAAGTAATGAAAATTCCAAGAAAAATCCAACAAAAAGCAAAAAGAACAACCTATTAATCAAATTTAACACTTATAATCTAGATGTTTAGATCTTTTAAAAAAGATACCACCTTCGGCGTGAATTGTTATATCAGCGAAGACTTTTCCTTTGTATTTCAGTGAGTAGGTTCCGAAAGATCTCCGATCAGGAACAGGAATGGTGCTGTTGATCCAATGTTTGTAGAAAACGTTATCTCTTTCTGAGACTTTAATCGATATAGACTCAAATGTCGGTCCTAACCAAACAAACCCTGATGTAGATGTGAGGGGATTCGCAACAACTGGTAAACTCACAACAACTTTAACATCCGGGCCACTTTTTGATCCATAGATGTTTTTCACTAAAGTGAATTCATCAAGGCGAGGTTCACCTACAATGCCATCATAGTATGTCGCTAATTAATTAAATCTATAAAAACATTAAAAGTTTGTATTAATGACAATAGATACGCAATTAGTGTTAGCAAACTTCTATATTCTATAACAACATATACGTACAGAGAACATTAACACTGAAGGACTGATTCCTTCTCCCAAACTCAGTGGATTTTCCGACACATTCGAAAGTACCTGTGTCAGAGCACTGAGCCATGTTTAATGTGTAGTTTAACCAATGATTTATAATGTGCATAAGGATCTGGTTCCCAGTGAGTCTGCGGAGGGTGACCTCTGGAGTAGGATTTCCATCGACAAAACACGACAGATGAACTGGATTTGTTTCATTAATGGTTAATGCATTTTTAGGTTTGCCATTCATATATACTCTTGAGTCCAATAAATCTGAAAAAAAAGAGTCCGATGAATATCAAGTGGTTACCGAATAAAAGATTTACAATTTAGCCGTAAGCTTACTTTTTTAAAGAATTATAGTTCAAGTCAGTGTTTGGTTAATTTTGAAAAGAAAATTTATTATTAAATCAACTCAATAGATCAAAGACATAAAGATACGTGATTGCTATAAACTTTAGATATCATTTTCCCGAGTGTTATAGTTTTTTTTAATGTTGAAAGTTTCAAATGCAGATAAGTACATGAAATGCAAAATGATTTTACTGTTTCTGTCAAAGACAGCCAAACAATTTCTTTTTTAGACACATCAAATTGGCAATCATATATGACAGTTATAATGCAGCAGATGACATACCAAATGTTTTTATCTAGATTCTAAACGATTGTTCTAAGAGTCATAACCATATACTTGCATAAGTTTAAAAATAGACGCTAAATTTAGATTATTTTTCCAATGATCTTATACCAGATATTTACATTTTGTTTTAAAGTAGATAATTTCACATTCATATAGGATATGCCATATTTTTATATATATCAGGTAAAATGAAGAATCAAATGAAACATTATTTAGTATCTTAAGGCTATAAATGTGTGATTGTAATCAGTGTTATGATAATGTTTTTTTTATAAGAACTAAAAGAACAGATGAAAAGTGGCCATGGGGGTGGTTTTAAGCTGTATCTTTACAATGTAGTAATGTTTTCCTTTTCAATACATGATTGCATCACCCACTTACACTGAACGTTCAACTTAATATTTGATACAGAGCGACCTTCACTTCCAGTAACTATACATCGAATCAATGTCATATTGACTCTGTTTGCTGTTTGCTGTGGTAATAGAGTTGAAGATATGCCAATGGATGATGCATTTCTATATTCGCCTAACGGACTTTTGTACTTCCATTGTACGGTACAAGGTGGATTACAATCAGCTGAACAGTTATACGGACCAAATGTTTTCCCTTCATGAACATCTAAACCCTCATCAGGCAGCTGTGGAATTATTGTTATACTCTCTGGACCATCTGTGAAGAGAATAAAATCGTTTCATTTCTATAAAACAATTGATTCTGTTTGGATAAAGGATTCTTTTGATAACTGCTTCACTAGAATCTGGAGTTCACTTGCACTTGGCAGCCGAACTACTTTGGCTGACTTTACACGTGTATTTCCCGCTCCCAGATTACTTTGGGATAGAAAAAAAAATATTTGTGTTTTCCATTATCTCCTTATGTCAAAGGTTATTTTGGGAAATCTTAAAATTTTGATCGACATACATAAGTGAGTGTAATTAAAGGAGGTTGTTTGTCGGACATCTGGTTTACACAGTATAGGAGGTTATTAGTTATCCAAGTTCAATCAAAGGCGTACGGGGATTTACCTCGAGTTTTATTCCGTACACCCTGGAGCAAAAGGTCGAAGGTCGTATGGAATACAACCCGGGCTAAATCCCCTGAAATTCTTTGGATTGGTGCTGGATAACGAATTTATTTCTTATTATTATTTCAAATTATATTATTCCTAATCCCAAGGATAATCATTGGTATTTCAAACTATCGACAATGTCTATTACGATATACAATGCATCGTGACATCATGTTAATTGCTTTTTTGTGATAGAGAAACTATGCATTGTGACTTCACGTTATTTATATCCTGTCCCCAACCGGGTGTACGGAAATTTACACCTGGCTTTCTAACCAATCAGATCTCGTATTACAAGCTACATAAGAAATAATCTTTCTTATATGTTAATTTCAAACATTTTAATACTTGGAGGAAACTCTGATCACTTGAATCGATAAAGGCGGCTGTAAATTCAAAACATTATTGAAATAATCAGTACTTGTTTATTTTCAAACATACTTTCTTTGCATTTTAATTTCCAATTCAAAAAAAAAAAAATCAATGTTTCACCGTTTATGTTAATGATTAAAAAGGTTAATCCATGACTCTGTTTCCCTAAATTGCATGTCATACACGTCAACGCTGCGTAAGTAATATGTTACTATTGCAATATCATTTATGTAAGTATCTGTTGATTAAACGCTGAGTTTATTATTTAAAACCAGGCTATTGTCAGGGTATGGATAATTATTTTGCGAGTCAGCGAACACTACAATCTTGTTTTCGTTGTTTGTTGATGGGGTACAATATTTATATCCTATTCCGTCTAATATTAAAATCATATAATAAGTATATAAGCATCACCTGCTCACCGTTCATACCCATCGCGGGTGTTTATGAAGTTTAAATATTCAGATTAACTATGGTGAGCATGTGATTTTAACCCATTCACTGCTTTTTAAAATCATGAAAATCTTTTAGAAAGATTTAAAAACATTTTCTTTATGGTACATATAATTAAAAGAAACACACAATTGCAATTTCATGTTTGCTGCTTATTTTAATTATAAAACTGAGTTCTACCCTATAACATATGACATGGTTCAACCAGGACCACATGTCTTGAATTTAAATCACACTAACATGAGTAGAGGTGTTTATAAAGAGGAGGGGCTATCCCTTGTTTGTGTAGTTATAATTTGTTAAAATTTTAAAGAAACACAAGAAGGAATGAGTCCTTTCAGTTAAAACTCAAAAGGTCTTTCAACGGCTTCTCTCCGTCACGGTAGCTCAGTCGGTAGAGCGATCGCTCCATGATCGGAAGGTCGTGTGTTTGAATCACGGCCTCGACTGACCTAACGCGGGTATGTTACTTGGCTACACCCAGAGATATCCTACTTGCTTTCACAATATGACGTCATAGTAAGCTGTATGACGTGAACTATAGAAATAATGATTTCTTAATATCTATCTTTAAAGTTTAATTTCAGGTCCAAGAAAAGAATGGAATCATTCAAAACATAACATAAACTAAATCTTGTCGTTTTTGGGTGGTATAAATAGCTAATTATTTAGCACGGGGGTTAAATACCAAACCCATGACGTCATAACTATTGATCAAATATTTGCCGAGTGAAATGAGAATTCATGTAAACAAATATATGAAATGGGAGTTTTAAGGCATATACCATGAACGTTATGTGTGATTCATAAGGAATTAAAGATTAAGAATCAGGTACGCTGATATATTCTTATCATGTTTTCTTATAATGAACATAGTCAGTGCTTTGAAATCCCGATCAGCCGTTCCCCTGTCGTTCCATAACAACAAAGATGCAAAAGTTCAACACTACGCTGCATACTTTGAAATATAATTTTTGTTTTTATCGAAAGCTTGTATTCTATAGTACTTGGAAAGTGCTGCTAGAATCGTGTGGTTAACATGAATTGATCAAAATTCCTTGATCGTATGTATAAAATGTAAAAAATTTGGTAAGGTTTCATGCAAAACTTTGGAATATTTTTTTTCTGTGTCAGGAGAGTAGGATTCTAGCAGCACTTTTCATGGCCCAGTGATGTTTTTACATTATTTTCACTAAAAGAAATGAATTATCTCCGGGGTAGTGTTGAACTTTTCACTTTTTCATTAAGGCATTTTTCTATTTATAGACGTCACGTGATGACGTCGTAGTTGAGTGCTTCTTTCAGCCTAAGACTCAATGACGTCTATACAATGGATAATAATAGTAAATGTTTTATCTATGGTTTTTCCGATTTATCAATGTTACATTTTACGAAAAAAGTCTAAATTCGCCGAAATATGATCTGGGTACTGCCTTAACATACCTGCGAAGTCGATAAAAAAATAGTTAGCAACTGTTCTTTCGCCAAGCGCTCGGCACTTTGAAGTGAAAGCTGCAGGTCCTTCTGATGAGACCTTAAGTCATTTAGTCACTGCATGGCAAATACATTTCAGTGACCTTTCAGGTACATTTCTGTCACAATTCAGCGGACACATCTCAATTATCCCTCAGTATCCTTACTGTGTTGTTTATTATCATTATTGTTGAAAACGTACATGTTAAATCATTGGTACAACTTAATTATACATGTAACTATGATTCTGTTAACTTTTTTTGGTGTGAGTAAATTACAATGTTACGGACTTCCTGTTGACCTTCTTGACCAGTCCTGATATGGCTATTTCTGTACTTGGAAACTTAAAACATCAGGTATTTTTAGTGCCTAAACGTCTTTCTCTTGTAAAATATCCAATATGACTCTGTGGTCCATTATTTCAAGTTCACTGGGGTGTATCGAATCGACATATGAATGGAAGCAACTACTATTAATTGATAATGTGTTGTCGATATATCTAAATGTCGAGATGAAGTCCAAAGTAGGTGTTTTCTTCTTCTCAAGCAGAAATTTTTGAATAAATTCTGCTTCAAATGAATACAAAAACAGATCAAACCATGTTTCATGAACAGTGTAAAAACTTTAGGGAAAAGTGGACAGAGCATTGAACGAAGTAGAGAATGTTTTGGTAACTTTAGGCTCGTGTGTAGGAGAATTCAGAAAAATACGGGAAGTAAACCTTTACTCAAAGTAAAATTGAAAGAATTTTGTATTTTTGTGACATGTAACCGAGCGGATATTACAAAAATAATCAAATGTATTTAGAAAAACATTATTCCTCAATTTAGAAAGAGTTTCGTGCTAAAAAAAAAAAAGGATTCGTGGGAAAGCTCAGATCGCTTCTGAGACCTAACAATGAGAAATTATTTACAACAAAAAACCTATGGGACGGGGTAATAATCAAAGCCTCAGTTTATAATTGTGTCCGCATAGGTCTATTAATAATGGTCTCAAATATGTCTTAACTGCTGGCTCACCTATGTATAAACTTAAATGTAAGATAGGGAAGGAAAGAATTGTTCAGTCACGTCTAATCGTTTTCTTAACTTATCCTAAGTTTACCTCAGCGGCTCGACTTCTCCACTCGACTGTCCTACTGACTCTGTGTTACAGCTCTGAGAAGACAGCAGTTTTATACTTTCCCTATTAGCATACTCGATTCTCATTGGCTGATGGCTAAGGGTAATCTTCTCTTTGCTAGAGAGCTCCTAATTACTAACTAGAGTTATATCTGATCATCACATTTTCTCAGAAGACTATAAGAAAAAGCTTGATTCTCAAAACACTGAAGAAGGTCGAAATATGTGGAAAGACTGACATGTTTATTTTAAGGAGGGATTCTTTACTGGTTTTTAACTAAATGAAATTTTCAAATTTAAGTTTGCTTATATGACTTAAATATTTAGATGTTATGGATCCAAAACAATCATATTTTTATTTCATTTTCATGATTGTACAACTTTACATGAAATGGTTATATGGATTTGAAATCCAGCAAGGACTTTATTTTCGGCGGAACAGCTGTGTAAGAAAATATCTCCCTTTATGCTTCTTAAAATAACTACCGAACAATCAATTTCGAAATATATTTTTACACAATCAAAAACTTAAAGAAATTTTCTGAAGTGACTGAAATTAATAACTATGGACTTCAGTTTAAATTATGTCAAATAAATTTGATTTTCTAAACAAATTACAAACTTGTGAGCTTTTAAAAGCTTCCAATCTAAGAACAGATGTATGCAAAAATTCAAATTTTTTTCTCGCACTAAACGGTCAAACTTTTTGTTTTTACATCAGCTTGTATCTTATGTGAATACTTCACTATAATAATGAAGATAAACAAAAAAAAAATTTAAATCATACATAAAGATCTAATATCCCCCCAATTTAAGAAAAAAGAAGAAATTCGGATTAGCCAATATCAATTTTAATTAAATTAGTTACCGGGGGTATCTAAATTTAGGAGCATATTCAGATAAATCCTATATGGTAAGATCCTTTATGTAAAAAGAAAAAAAAACATTTAGCCTTTTGAAATAGAAGTAGGCATTTCATGATTGGCATCATTAAAATTTCATTTTTAATGTCAAGGGAAAAAAAACTAATGACCTTTTCCTGACCTTGTGCCTAAAATAAAATTAAAAAAATGAGAAGAATCCCTCCATTCAAAAGTGAAAAAAAAATCAAGTAATGAACGTTTGACTACAAAATGTTTTATTACTAGAAACATTATCTCATGTATAAATTTAAAGCAGACTTCGAAGAGCTAAAGCACAAACGAGAATTTATTTAAAAGGAGTGCAAACTTTTAAAAGAAAAGACACAAATTTAAACAAAAATAAGCATTGTTCGCCAAAAAAAGAGGAAATTCTCTCAGCAGAAGCATAACTATCAGAAGAACAACAATAGATCTTCCGGTTTCTACGACTGCTCACGGTAGCTCAGTCGGTAGAGCGCTCGCTCCGTGATCGGGAGGTCGTGACTTCGAACTTTGGCCGCCACTGACCTAAGTCGATAAAAATGGGTAGCAACTGTTCCTCCGCCATGTGCTTGGCATTTTGAAGTGAAAGTTGCGGGTCTTTCGAATAAGGCCTTAAAAAACGAGGCCCCGTGTCACGGCAGGCGTTGGCACGATAAAGATCCCTCACTGCCCAATGGCCCTGAGTGCCGAGTAAAGGTCAAAATTTGAAGTTCTTCACCGGTATATGGTGACTTCTCTATATGAGTAAAAAATTCTCGAATGGGACGTAAAACAACACACAATCAATCAATCGATCCGGTTTCTACAAAAGAACAATTGACCAGTGCTTATTTAATGAACCATAATTCACAATTTACTGGTATTGACAATGTTCAATAAAACCAACCAAGCTTTGAACAGAATCCATCAAACACGATAACAACCACCCATCAGTTTTATAATCCTGCAAGTACCTTTAAACTTCCTGTCTTTCAAACCTCAGCAGTGTATGTCCCTCTAAATTCTGTGCCGCAAATGTTTATTGCTTCAAATCCAGCGCCAACGTTTTTAAATGGCTAATCCACTGGGTTCCCTTCTTCTTAGCTATTTCATCTTCTCTATGGAGTTCTTCCAATAGTTACCAAGCTACCAATATCTCCAACATCCCCAATTTTCATTCTCAGTCAATTTCATCCTTGAAATATGTAAAAAGCGTGATGACCTAGGACTTATCAAACCCACAGGTTGCAGACAGAAAACCTAGAACAACTGGTACAGTGTAATGTCACTTCTCGTTAAGCTGAAATTTCGACACGAACTCTGGCAACTCATGTCCCAATGCACAGCACTGTACATACACTGAATAAATGCCGTGACTTAAAAAAAGTTCACTGCAAAAGCGTCAAAAGATTCCCATAGTGTCAGAACAGCATCAAAGTCAAGGCAAATGGCGATAACATATTCTTTCTAACACCATTTGACAACAAGACTGGACTTTTTGTTGATGACTTGAAATTTCTCACTCTCATGGATGAAGAGTTTCATAAAGATGGCGAAGGCTATTGATCTGCACCGCTCCCTTTTAAAGATTCTATGCCATCGATGCTTAACTATTATTCACAGGGTTGCTAACGTGAACTGATCTTCAACACAAGTCTGCAGAGAAAACTTCATAAAAGAGCTTTTTCAAAACACTTTTGCATTCATGTTGAAAGTCTTATCAAGTGGCGCAGCCGAAGTTTCACCGTGCAATATACCCTGGTAATGCCTGGTATTTACCTCTTTTTTGAGTGTACAATTCTAAAAGCCAAATCAAATGCGAAGAGTTTTTGATTCATCTGCTGTGTACAAGAATAACAAGTTTAACATTGTGTTAATGTCTTGACCAGACTTATCAAACAACTTTGTAGGAATCCTCATGCGTTTTCATGAGATTGCATTAGTGATTAGTGGTGACATTCAGCAGATATCTTATTCACTCCGTGTGCATGAAAAACACCATGATTATCTCAGGTTCTGCTGGTATAAAGGTAATGACTTTCAAAAGAATTGATACGTACGAAAACTCAGATATTGGAAATGCACCATCTCCAGATATGTCAACTTATGAACTTCATAAAGTATCAGTTCTCACTGAAAGTGATGTTCGTAAATTTGTTTACAACTACTGTTACGTTGATGATGGACTTACCTCCCTTCCCACTGAAGCTGAAACAGTGATGGTTATGAAGAAGGAAATATTCGTCTTCATCTTCTCAAACAAAGTGTAAATGTGATGAAACCATTCCCTGCAGAAGACCTAGGAAGTGACATAAAAAACTGAAACACTGTGCAAACATGTGTAACTTACCTGTTCAACACAAATTTAGGAATGCAGTGGAACAAACAGTGATATGTTTTTGCTTAAAATCTCTCATACAGAGAAACCGTGTATTTGAAGAGGTCTTTTATCTACACCGAACAGTGTGTTTGGTCCAGTTGCATCGTGAACTTGTACCTCCTGGATGTGACTTTGGGAGGAACACGTGAAAGAATGGCAAAACTGGCTTGGTTCTTTACTCTCTGTCAACAACTATAGAGCTCCTAGAATGATCGTATCTTCCTCAAATGTCAGGCACAATGCTTGGATGTATGTCCAAGTGTTCTCTATGCATTAAAACATCCAGCTGCTGCCCTTGCATATATCCAAGTCATTGACAAATCAAGGGAAGTTTCTATTGAAAATCCTTATGGGAAATACAAAACTGGCACACCTTAAAGATTCCAAGATTAAATTATGTGCTAATGTGCTGACCACATAGATAGGAGAAGTACTTTGTGATTATTTGAACATTCCAAAAGATCAGTTTCATTACTACACTGATAAAAGAATTGTCCTGGGATACATTTGCAATATTAACCTCAGATTTCTTGTGTATGTTTCAAACCGTGTTCAAAAAAAAATCAAAAAGTCTCATCTCCATCTTAGTTGTCCTATGTCACAACAGATAAAAAAGCAGATATAGCGACAAGATATCCACATAAGGCATTGCCTATATCTCTACAAAACTGAGTAACTGGAACTATCAGTTGAGAATATTTTAGAGAAAACTGAGACTTTCATGGACTTTCATAGAAACGGAAAGTGACAATAAAAATTATCAGGAAATTGTTTCTTGCTAAACTCGAATTTCATCAAATATCAGCTTAGATTTCAGACGTAAAATATATGTTAGTCAGATTGACATCATTTTTGGTCTAGTGTTATTCTTGATAATGATTGGATTACCTTCATTAACTGTGCTTACAGGAAGTGATCCATAAATCGGACGGAAGACCAATTCGTTGCTTTGCAAGGAGCTTTGCTCTAGTTATTGTTTTTTCTTACCGAATTTGTACAAGGAATTTTTCGAAAACGGCTCATAGATTATTATTATTAAAATTTCAGAACTAATGTTCCATCTCTTGAAACTAATGCGTTTATTTCTGTTTTGATGACGTCACTTTCGGTCCGGAGATATCGAAGGTCTTATGATTTTAATTTTGAAAAGTTGTTCTGTCCGCCAATTTTTTTTCATTAAAGACTCTTGATAGAAACAATAAATTGTCAGGAATTGTAGAGTTATGCGTGTGAATGTGTAAAAGACATTTTACAGGAAATGTCGCATGTTAGAGCTTGCTATGGTCCGAAAATAGGCATATCAAAAATTTAATTTTATGAACACTTTTCTCAAGAATATCTCTTGACAGTAAATAAATTTCTAACATATATTAAACAATAAATTTGAGCAATAACACGATCGTTCAGCTGATATCAACGAAAAAGGACTGGTTCCTAAAATAAAGGATTAAGAAGGGCTGTCAGTTTTTCTTAATGTTTTAAAACTATTATTTTTTTAATATATTATTGAAGCACAATTATTCAGAAAAACAAGTAACAGCTAGGAAGATCATCAAAAGTAGACAAATGCCGTTAATTCTGGCAAAGTGAATATGTTCAGAAATTGCATAATTTTGCAGTTATCGCCACGTTTTTCGGTGAATTTAGTCACCGAAAGCGTACAACCTTATTTTTCGTTGATTGACGTCGCTTGCTGTCAAACTAGAAGACATCAGATATGGAAGCTTTACTCTAGTTAGGTCTTCCGTTTTCAACGGAAGACCTATAGTGATTCCACTGTTTCTTATTAAGGTCTTCCGTCTCCACGGAAGACCTTATAGTGATTCTATTGTTTCTTATTAGGTCTTCCGTTTTCAACGGAAGACCTATAGTGATTCTACTGTTTCTTATTATTATTAAGGTCTTCCGTTTCAGTCGGAAGACCTTATAGTGATTCTACTGTTTCTTCTTTTTCTTTTTATTATTAAGGTCTTCCGTTTCAGTCGGAAGACCTTATAGTGATTCTACTGTTTCTTCTTTTTCTTTTTATTATTATTATTTTTTTTTTTTCCCTTTTCTTTTCGGACGATTTCTCAGAGATGGCTGGACGGATTTTCTTGAAATTTTCAGGGATAACAGAGAATGAAAATACCTACAAATGTATCTTTGATTTTTTTCAAAATTCACTTCCGGTCGTCAGATATGTCCGATTTCCGTTTTTTTCAGAAATATTTTGTCCGAGTCATATCTCAGAAACGGTAAGATATTAAGACACCAAACTTATTTGAGTGATAGATCTTGAGGAGTAGGCAAATCCATTTGGGTTAAGAGCGTCAGCCGTCACTTCCGGTCGTCACAGGAAGTGATCAAAGAAATCGAAAATTTCAACTTTTCTTTTTTGAATCTTTTTTGGCATCACATTATTGCATCTTATTTGTAGTTTCGAAATATGTTGGTCCCACGGGAAACAAAAACGTCAACTTCCGGCTATAAGCGAAAAACTGCATAATTTGAGTATTTTACTTTCCCATAAATATTTTTTATAGACAATGTATTTGAACTGATTTTTGAATATGTTATCAAGACTGCAAATGTCTAGAGTAACGTCAAATATCTTGGTAAAATTCACTTCCGGTCGCGCGTTCAAATGTCCGCAAAATGAGAACTTGTCCGAGTGATATCTCAAAAACGGTAAGAGATTTAGACACCAAACTTATAGGAGTATTAGACCTTGAGGAGTAGACAAAAGCATATGGATTAAGAGCGTCAGTCGTCACTTCCGGTCGTCACAGGAAGTGATCAAAGAAATCAAAAATTTAAACTTTTCTCTTTTGGAATAAGACTTGCATCATATAATTGTATCTTTTTCACAGTTACGATATGTGTTGGTTCTACCGGAAACAAAAAACGACAACTTCCGGTTATAAGAGAAAAACTACATAAAAGGGTATTTAATTTTCCCATACATATCGCCTATAGATAGAGTTCTTTAAATGATTTTTATATATGTTATTGAGATTGCAGATGTCTAGAGAGACGTGAAATATCTTAGTAAAATTCACTTCCGGTCGCGTGTTTTCTTGTCCTCAAAATGAAAACTTATTTCAGAAAGATCTCGAAAACGACTTGAGATTAAGACACTAAACTTATAGGAGTAATATACCTTGGTGAGTAGGCAAAACATATAGGGTTAAACGCGTAAGCCGTCACTTCCGGTCGTCACAGGA